TGATAGCAGTGACAGTTTGCTGACAATCGTGCATGAGCTGGATGCGCAAGGAGTCCAGTTCTGCTTTTCTGGCTTCAGCCTCAATGGACCTTTCACTCTCTAGCTTTAGGATCCGCGCTTTTGCAGCGCTAAGTTCCCCTTGCACTTGGTTGTAGCTAGATTGAGCTTGCTGCCTTACCGAACTGAGTTCCTCATGATGCTTGCTCGCTACTTCATCGATTGCTTGACGAAACTTGGTTTTTACCATTTCCAACCATTGTCCCATTATCTCTTTGTGCCTTCTCTCTGCCTCAGCAATGATAGCATCTTCATTTCCGTTGTACACTTGTTGGATGTTTTGCTGCACAAACTGAAAGTAAGCTGTGACAGGAGCTGAACCCATGGGGTCATCTAGATCCACCGTGGGCTCAGTCATGAGACCGGCTGGGACTGCTACCGATGATGTGCCGTTCCCAGGAATAGCAAGAGCGTCCATGGCTGTGGTTAGAGCACTACGGCTGATAACCTATAGAAACAGCCGTTAAGCTGCAACTCCTGTTTTGGGCCGCGAGCTGCAAAGTCAAGGTGACATGACATCCTACTATGTGCAAGGTACAAAGTGTACATATTACATGGAGTGAAAATACAGAATGTAAAGGTCCTGAACCACAACCAGTGGAACACCCGCTCTTGTTGCTTGACCTCAAAAGCACTCGACAGACCTACAGTGACCTACAGACGTTCAACCGAAAAAAGACATCGCCCAGGATCGCAGAGAAGCTCTTGGATTCTTCAAGCCTCTTGGTGGAAACGAGAGAAACTGAGCCCTCAAACTCCGAAAAGAAAACAGGGTTTCAAGTTCTTTCGAAGTTCTTTAAAGGGTTTCAAGAAAGTGTTTTTGTTTCTGACGAGAGTTTTTGCTGTGCACTGGTTGATCCGCCCTGAGGCGCCCGGTGGATCCGTGGGAAGGTGCTGCGGATCGCCCGCTCTTCTGACGCTTCCCGCTACCGGGTGGAAGCGAAGCTCAGTGGCGCAGAACACTGGGAGGAGTGGCGAGCGGGAGAGGTTGGGGAGAATAAAGATTTGGTCCGAAGTGTTTTGCAAAACACCTTGTTGTCCGGTTCTTGTTTGCTCACCTTCTTTGGGAGAGCTGATTGTCCTGTGCCAGATCAGCAGTCGGTGATTAGGTGAGGCAGCGTAATGTATCTCCGTTGTGTTTTGTGCAGGAAGACTATGACTTGGTCTTCCTGGCCGCGCCACAGTATGATTCCGAACTTGAGATCATCGTAGCTTCCAAGGACCGCTATGGCGAAACAAATTGGCACCATTGCCCTGAGTAACGGAGTGCGGTATAGCGATGCATTGATAGCTGGTCTCTCAGTTCCATCACAAGCTGAAAAAAGGCAATCAGCCATGAATGGAGTACAATGAAGCAAACCGCGGTTTGAGACCACCTTGTATGGCGCTAACCGATATATCGGCTGTAGCAATCGAAAGTCTGCCCATTCTCAGAAATGCCCAAAAGGGACACCTGGGCGGCAAGCATATTGCGACGGCACAATCTAAATCGCTTTCCATGAGCCAGCAGTTCCAGCACCTTCAGTCACTGAACATGGGCAGGCCATGAATCAGCTGAGAGTTCAGGACCGCAACCTATTTCAGCCAAGCTTTGAATAGAACTTTAACAGATTTGGTCCTCATGGCAAAAGGTTGTTTGAGCTGAGGATTTAGCAGCTTCAGTCAAAAGGGTTTAGCCAGTACTTGTTTTAGTGGCGTGCTACCACTGGCATGAGTTGGAGGCACCTGCCACCACACTTGGGTTTCGAAGTAGACAAAATGGCTGCGCCTGCTGTAAAATCTGTGCATCGACGGCCGCAATGCCCTGCGCCTGCCATGAAATCAGACGCTTAAAGATACTGAAACAAAGCTTTTGCCCGAGACATCGCCCAATTTCCAAGAATCAGCAACAGGATTCACTGCACCTGCCAAGGAATCCAAGCCCACCAGAGGAAACGCCTCCAATCTGCTGCGGGTGCCACGAAAAGTCGACTTGAGAGCGCCAACAATGCCCACTCTCGTCCTTTGCCAAGTTGGAAAGGCATACATGTCGATCTGGATCTGAGTTGGAGAAATCAGCGCTGCAGGGAACAATCCTTCCTAGGTTTTTTCTTAAGGTTGACCTGGAGGTAGCCTATGTGTGTGTGTGTGTTTGCGTGGCTGGTCTGCCCTGCGAAAAGCCGAGACAGCACGCATGATGCTTGAGCAAGTCCAAGTTGTGCGACCATGCGAAGTTTGACCAGGGGGATTCTCACAGGAGAAGCTCACCATTGCGCGGAAGTACCAGCAAATCTTTGCCACCTTCTTCCGAGTTCCTCCCACCTCCTCGTCGCTGGCGTGCACAGATCCACCTGGAGGGACCATCTTGAGCACTGCTGGTGGTAACTTCAACAGTCTTGGATACTCTGATGCAACAGTTTATGGCTGAGGAAAATCACGAAAACATTGGATTTGATGGGGTGTTCCACCTTGAGAAACACAAAAAATGTTCACCCGTGTTGAAGAAAGAAATGAAGAGGCATTCCAATACATTTGGGGATGTTTTCGTCGAGGTCACCACCGGCAAACATGGAAGTGACCAGCTTTGGAATCTCCCGAAATCCTCCCAAAGGACAGATGGCGCAGCCGCTGATAGAAGCCTTGTATTTCTCAAGAAGCGCAATGTGAGGATGCCATATGATGCCATATATCCAAAGGCAATTCCTTTCAAGGTGAGAGGACTATGCGTGAATGATCCTCCAAATGGAAGATGACTTGCATCTCCTCTCTTCATAAATCATCCATCCCCCAATTTGCTTTGTATGCGCCAGGAGGTGCGCGGATTTCCTAGGAGCTCACTTCACCTAATCTCTAGTGCGAGCCAACATCACCAAGCCAGCCCTCTCTGAGGACAGTACGACACGACTTCTGGCAGTGGCCCCCAGATTTGGAAGAGTTTCAGCAACTCTCCTTTGGATTCTCGGAGATTCAAAGTCATCCGAATCATGGACGAACACGGGGCAATTTTGAAACAAGAAAGTGACAACAGTATTGGCATGTTCAACAATACCTTGTCTACTTGACAATTTGACATTGCTTTTTTCAGGGCGAGAGAACAAGTAGTGTACGGTGTTGGAACCTCTTGAGCCCTCGTTTAAAACAAACTCTTCCATTTACAAAGTGTTCTGGTGTGAACTGCCCAACAGGCATGGGTTTCGTTGGACCTGAAAGGCTGGAAAAGCGAGGCCCAACACGACACCCAGTCTTTTTTCCTTTCGGCTGGGACTTTCCGAGAGGAATATGGCAAAGATCAACATGTTGGGTTGTGTTCACCAATCGAATAAGCAAGAAAAACTGAACAGGGTTCTGTTCGGCTCGCTGCTGCAAACCTAGGGGAAGGTCGAGATGCCATTGTGTAGCTCACAAAGAACAGATCCAAAAAGAGAACATTTCGAAGCGAAGCGACGGGACCGGAAGGGGACCGGAACGGGACCAGGAAACCACAACAAACCCAACAGGGCGATGGGATGAGGCCAGTTTGCCACCAAGCGAGCAAAGCCAGGACGTGGACAGCGAGAAGGCGCTCTTCCCGGAGAAGCCACAAGAGACCTATGCGTGGTGGGCATATCCCGTCTATGACACGGAGGAAGCTTTGGAGAGAGAAGTGGACGTGGCTCAACCATGTAAATCTATTTAAATCCATAGATTCTGTGAAATGCATCCCTGTAATCTTGTATGCAACAGTTTGTGTAGCACCCTATGTTAAGCCGTGACAAAGTTGACCCACTGCTGGTTGTCTCGCAGATGCTTGGACTCTTTGACATGTCCCTTGAAAGACTAGCTACAGTGACAGGATATTCCACGCACTGCCTCTTGATCTATGCTTGTGTCCTTCCTTTGTTCCGGAGAGAGAATCCGTACGTACGCAAGCTCCTATTAAGCACTTGGAATTTGTCAGGATGAGAGAGGTCGCGAGATCCCCTTTTGCCTGGACGACCACGGCTTATTCTACTGCAATGCCATTGAAGCTGCCGCCAGCGCCATGGAGATGGCGGTCATCGGAGCCAAGAACTGCGTTCTATTGGCCAAGAACCGTTTGAAAGGTGGGGTTTGTTTGCCCGTTCCGGGTTTGCCGCAAACCGAAACAAACCGAAGGAGAGGTCACTCAAGAACAGCCCGAATACTTTTTGTTCTGCACTGTGTGTTGAAGAATCTTCACCCAGATAGAGCATTTGTCTGCCAAATTGGATTGTCTCAAAATGTTTGATGAGCGGCCCATTGCGGGGATCTTGAAATACACGGGAAAATCAGATGACTCCAGGCCTCACTGAAAAGATTGACAAGACCAGATCGAAGCTCTAGTGACTCCATGCTGGCCGCTGGCCGTGCTCTGCTGCGCGCAGCGTTCGGGCTCGCTGGATTGTTGTTTGCCGATGCAAAACTGAGAGGGTCCTCGCATTGTCAGTTGCATTTCAGCGGGATTTCGTTAAGACTGTGCCATTTCCCCTTGGAGCCTCTACACAGCAGGGTTGCACATATTGATCCAACGGACAACTCTCGATTAGTTGAAACTAAGTGGCAAGCCGACTATTTTTCGTGCTGAACAAAGCAAACATTCACATGAACAACCCTTGATGAGTCAGCGAGTATTTGTTAACGGACTTTGGGCAAACTTGAACCATCTTCGAAAGGTCCACAAATGTCGCCAGACCAATGGAAACACTACTTTGATCAACAAAAAGGCCCTCGTGTTTTGAAGATCCTGAAACTCGATTTTGTAGTATGATCTCCAGTACAGTAGTTGCTCATTCATACTGTAGACACTGGCTTGTGGTGAACCCTTTGCTGTAGGTGAAATCAAGCGATCACAGAGACTGGGGACCAGAATTTAGACCTTGTGACAAGTAGTCGGAATCTTGTGGCGAGACTGAAAAAACTACTTTTTACAGATGAGTGCACTCATTTTAGCACTTTGGCGCTTTGAGGTTTTGACTGTGAAACGGGCTTCTTCGTCCGAGACCTGAGATCGCCTGATGCAGGGAGAGTCCCGAAAGACAGAGCTGAGTCAAAACACGAAGCATCACTCATAAAGCATAGAAAGGCATAGAATACGGAGATAGATGGAGATAGAGCGAATTGGCCGTCTTGGGAACCACAAGGCACCCAAAAAGATCTTCAGATCCTTTACCACCATATCGCACCAAATCACACCTCTACTTTTTTTGCTTTGGATTAGATGGATCAATGGGCACTTTGTATTGTCTTCATTTAATTTGCTCCAATTGTAATTGAGTTCACCATCATCACAACAGGCCGAGGATTCTGAAATGGAAGATTCAGGAAGATTCGACAAAACCAACCATCGGGAGTTCACCTACTTTTCCTCCAACCAGAAGACTAGGGGCTATCTTCAAGCACTCCCATTTCTTCAACTAGGGCTGATGAGCAGTGTCTCAGGATGTGTGAAAGAGATTGGTGCACTCATCCCCGTCACAAGGCCGCTGGCTTCCCTGAATGCATCAAGGGTGTTGGGGAGCCGAGATCGTTTCGGTGTTCGATTCAAATTGGCAGCGTGGACACAACAACGAAAGTCCTCCCTGACGATTCAAATTCTAGCTCTTAAGTTTTCATAGGGGTATGCTCACAAACCAAAACCCCACACCATGGTGGTAAAGCTTTCTGACCACATCATGGAAAGTGTTTCATCCAGAACTAGAAACAGATGTTAAGAATTCCAGGCTAGCCCAGCAAGTTGTCTCGGGAGGTTCATTTGCTTCAAACAGCTATACACATATGTATATGTATACACATAATATATATTAGTATAGCCTGTAGGCTTCAATGAACATTTTGCACAACGTGTCGCTTTATAAGAGGCTTGATTGAACGTACCCTGTTGGCAGTGGTTGATTGATGTGCTTCAAACAAAGAATCAACCAATTAATATATACTATGGGCATGAGCAGACCGACAAGAGTATTTCACTAAAAAAGGAAACTGGACAGGGATACGACTAATTTTGTAGGTAAAGGGACGTGTTCTTGTTGAGAACCCCAAACCCCGGTAAACGCCTCCCACTCACATGGAAACCCCAAGGGTCCCACCATGTTCCACCCGTCGGGCGAGACCGTTACCAGAAGCTTTCTCGATGTCGAGGATTGGACCTCGCTGGACTTGGCGGTTTGCGAGGATGATTTGCTGTTTGGTGCGCTGGTGATTTTCTTGTTCACTTGACTGCAGAGAAACTTTGGCACATTGAAGTTCAGCTTTGGTTCATTCATGTTCATTCGTTCTCCTTCAGACCGGTTTAGCCACTTCACCGCAGGAAGCTCCCTGCATGGGTGTGCCAAAGGCCGTTGTGAGCCCCGAATGTAGAAGAGAGAAAGTCCGTTTGTGGCCAAAGCTGTGGTTTTTGGTGAATCGTGCTTGGTACATGGGAAGTCGTGGGCAGTCTTCATGCATGCCTGAATGTCACTTCTTCCATATATCTCCATATATTTTGCTGGCAGTTTTCTTCGATGTGTCCCCCAAGGGTTCGCAGGGATCAGTGTGAGCCATCGGATGAATGCCCAGAAGGGCAAGCGACAGGTCCCTGACTGATCGTGAACAAAGTAGATGAACCCGATATGACACTGTCTAAATGTCTCAAGTCGCGAAGTGGACAGAGAAAAGGAAGGACATGTAAGAATAAATGGAAACAAAAAAAATGATCAGCCACCCTGGCCAGGTGGCTCACGCCAAGGACACCACAGCTTGTGCAAATCGGCAGTGCCTGGACAGATTTACTGATTCATTGCCGTGGTTCACCCGTTGGGCTAGAGAATGGGGAGAGGTTGAACCTGATGGAGAAGAATTGGGCTAGCACCAACCGCCATAGAACACAAAAAATTCTTTGGGTTCCAAAGCATGAAAGGCTCTTAAAAGGCGCTTTTGATGCTTTTGGAAAGGTGAGGGGAGGAGCGAGAGGACAAGATGCGATGGATGCAGCCCTTTGTTTCTGGTTTGACTGCGAAGGTCTGGCCAGATTTGCCCCATCGAGTGCCAGGAAGGCTTTCAGGCGCTGATGATCGAAGTCGGCAGATGAACATCCCAAACTGTTCGACGTTTGTAGGAGTTTCTTTTGGAGCGCAGGTTTCTGGGTGAAACGAGCTACATTCCAGCATTCCAGATGAGCTGAAATTAGATACTTCACTGTAGGTGTTTGGACTTTGTCATGGCTCATTGTTGTGAAGGGAATGCTTGTGAGAAAGCCGGAAATAGAGAAAGCCAGACATAGACAAGCCTGCTTGTAGGTGGTTCCGGCATGTTTCAACAAAAAAGACCTTTGCGGTTGTGGATTGATAAATGAGAATGCTTTGTAGCACACGGTTTGAAGCCAACTTGGACAGCTTTAAACAACTCAGGTGTGATTGAAGAGGCTCAAAAGACTATTTATATACATATACATCCTTCTTTGCCTGGCCTTCACAACAAGAAATGAGATCAGTGCAAAATCAAAACATTGACCATCTACCTCAAATGGAAAGGCCCCGATCTGGTTCTGTTGTAGCTCAGCACCAAGCAAGTATCATGAGGGAGACCAAAAGAAGCAAGACTTTCTGGAACCCTCTTTGATCTTATCATACCACCATGCTGCGTGAAGTGTCGCGGTGATTCCACGGCCAGTTGCTCACCGAGCTTCGCTGCTACAAGGGTGTTTGGCTCTTAGTTGGGTGCTACAGAGGTGTTGCAGAGGTGCTGTCAAACCACCCTGGGTGACCAAAACAATATACTCCGAAGCAGCATTAATTGCGTCTTCTGCTTGATTTCGCTCATGGAGTTTCAGAGGAGAGTGCGAAAAGAGGATTCAGGCGTATGTTGAAACCAGTCCCATGAAAGCAGGCGATGCAGTCTACGAGTCTACCAAAGGCCAGTAGCGGAGTGGATCCGTCAGGGACCGTCAGGAACCTGGACTTTCTTCAGATGGATGAAGACATGCTGCATCACACGCGCGCTTTGAACGCCACACCTGTGTGCCGCAGCCTAGGTGTGGCTGCCAACAGAGTGCGTGGCATTTTGTTCAGTTCCCACAGAGGCGCTCGCGGCGCTCGGTGTTCCAGCTGAAGCCACATGACCGGTCTTACTCACTGAAAAGTGTTGACACGTGCTGAGAAACAGGCATTTTGCATCATGTTGCACGGTGATGTCACCTGTTGCAGATGCTATCTCTTCACAGCTTCACGTGTTGAAACGGTGACCCAATGAGTCCGACGGCGAGCCATCGTGAGGCCATTGGTGGCGCCATCAGCTTGAAGCATTGTGCCTGGACCCTTTTGGCTGAAGCATGGAGTGATGGATCCTTTTATTTGACCTGTTATCCTTTTCTCTTTTCCTTTCGCCAGATTAAGGTAGTTACGTCCAACCAATGTTGGGTTTATGATATTCACGGCGTCTTACCACAGAGGACACTTCAGTTTGGAGCAAATGTTTAACGTTCAAATGGAGACATTGGAGACAGGTCTCAGCTTTCGGAGCAGCATTCTTTCCCTCGATTATCTCAATCCTCCCAGGCTGGCACTCCGGTGGGCAAGACCTGTGCGGTGGTTTGCCAGCCAGGGTGGGGCGTGTCTACCGGGAGGAGTCACGAATGTGTTTCCGAGAGAAGGGAAGATTGAAAAAGAGGGGGCTGCAAAGAATCAAAGATGCGCAACCGCTAAATCCAAAGTGTTGGAGGTTCTGCCCTATGAACAGGAGTACCAACAATAAGCGATATCCATTGACCAAGCAGTGTTTGTTATCCCCGGAGTAGCTGAATACCAGGCACGCAGATTTTGCTTGAGATGCCGTGGAGCTGACACTGTGCACTGTGACCACAAGACGGCCAGCTTCAAATTCGCTTGGTTTCACTTGACCACGGACCGTTCTATTTGTTTGAAGTTCGGAGATCGCTCATGCACTTCGATTGAGCTTTAATTCATTGGAGCTCTCCAGGCTGCATCCCGCAGGGCGCATTGCGCCTTGGCAGAAAGATGATGTGTTTCATGATCCTTTCGTGGGAAGATAGATAATGTGCCTCAAAATTTGTAGGCTCCTGATGGGTGTGGGTGTGCCATACCCGTGTTTAATGCCAACTTGCACAATGCCCTGACGAGATGGTCATAAGTCTTTGTAAGGACACCACATTGTGTCAACTTCAACTCTAAACCCTTCTTGCGACCAACACAGTCAATCAACAAAAGGAGGTTCGATCACAACTTGTATCGGCCAGATGGGTGCAATGTATCTCAAGCGAGTTCTCAACTTCCTTGTTCCACACAGTTCCACAGAAGGGAAGTGCAAGTGCACCAAGTGCACCAAGTGCACGAGTTGCTTCCCAAATGGACTTCGGCCATTCAGGAATGCTTGCCCGGAGGTCGCTGGAGCGAGTCCAGCTGCTTCGACCCTGCGGAGGTGAGTAGTCGCTTCGTCGGCGAGAAAGACACTGAATTGAAAAGAGGAAAATGATTTTTAAAAAAAGAACGAAAAGAGTGTAACTCAACGAGTTAAAAGGGACTTCTCACAAGAAGCTTTTCAGTATCAATGCATCAAGAACTTCCCCACAGCTCGAAACGGAAGCGCTGCTAGGTCATGGAGATCATGTTCTGTGAATTGCTGAATTCTGTGTCAAGAATGTGGTAGGTATAGTCAATTGAGTCAATATTTGTATAACTTTGTTTCAATCGGTGGGAAGTTAGGGGATGTTCAGCCTTCCAGTCAGCCTTTGGGGGAGTTTCGACCCAGATCCAAATTTGTCAAGTAAGAACTGAGCTTCAAACCAGAGCAGCACCGGGCAGCTTCAGAAGTTTATACTCAGACTAGCGAGGCTTTTCCAAAACTGTGCGACTGAGCCTTGCTAGGAGCTCCTGCATGAGGTGCTGCTGCGAGTAGAGGCCCAGCACTCAGCTCGGGGCAAACGACTCACGAAGGAAGTCTCACCACAAGCAACTAGGCAGTTCTTGGGGGTCAAACTCATAAGAACATGATATTTCCTTGATGCCCTCACTGAGGGATTTACTGAGGGATTTCCGAGCTTGAGCTTTGGGATGCATATTCATTGTCCAGGCAGGCTTGCAGATCAGGGTAGTTGGACCTTTGGCGTTTTTGCCAAAAGATGCCATTTTGGTTCAAACATCCCAGGTACCCCACAGCCACCATTTGCACATGTAAAATCATGTAAACCTGTCTCAAAACCGACTCCAGATGTCAGATGTCCTTCGAAACGCCTCCAAGGCCGAGGGTTTGGAAGACTTCCGCGACTTCTCGGAGGCCAACGATGCTGAAGCCTTCGAGGCGGGGGGAGGTGGGAGTCGGGACAGTCGGGAGGGATGAACTCAACATCGTGGCGCAAAGGATCGAAACAATCGCTGTGTGCGACTGTGATTTCTGTTGTGGTTGTGTTTTTCATGTCCGTGATTGTGTGCATGCAGAACGAACTGCATGTTATTGGTTGTTCCTTCTATTTACCACCCTCTCCCTGATGTTGAGCACTTGCAAGCAAGGTTCCGGCGGTCCTTCTTGCCGCCATTCCATGGAGAACACATTCTTTTACAATCTGGGTATGTATAACCCTACACTGCACACCCACCTTGAATGGCAAAGTCTTGGGGTTGGAGCGGCCACACTGGGTGCTGGTTGCTGGTTGGGTGCACAAGGTGGCGTGCGCGGCCTTTGAGAGGGTCCTGGCCGAGGATTTGAAGGTGCTTCCAGCGGAGAAACTGTTTTGCGAGAGGTGGACCAGATGGGCAGAAAAAAACCTTGGATGAAGCCCCAAACAAGTGGCTTTGTTTTGGTAAAACAGGGTAGAACTCACAAATTGCCATTTTTGAAGTCTGTGTCTTCAAGCTCTTTCGTGACGTGCTCATTCCACCTGAACGGAATGAGAAAAGGCTCCTGTTGTGAAGCGTAGGTCCAGTTTTGTTCTAAGTCCTCAAAATTGTCGGAGGAAGATTCTTGCCTGTGTTTGCCAGGTGCCGATCAGCCTATTCTCTTCCAATCTCACTGAAGACTCAGAGACTGGCCGTTTCGTCCTCAGATCAAGTTTTCCACTGAGTCGGGGCGATCGCTTGGCTGCAGGAATTCTAAGAGCTGGTTCTTCCAGCCAACGGGCCTTTCTCCTTCCTTTGTTTTCCACGGTAGCCTACCAGGGTTTCACATAAAGTTCTTTTTCTGGGTCGTTTTCCTTTCTTCATGTTTCTTCCACGCATTCTTATTTCAACTTGCGATCTTCTATGACTAGTGCCAATGTTTGGCATGTCTCCGAGCTCTTCCACCTTCGCAAATACTCTTGCCCAGTTTGCTTGTTGCAGTGATCCTGAGAAGTGTGAGAGCTGTTCCTTGGGTAAGGATTTGCCAGATCTCTCACCCAGATCCTCCAGAAGCATAGGGTGTCGCCACAAAGAAAGGGCGTTCTGTGCTTCATGCCCTCTTTTCTTCAAACCTCTGACTGGTTTCTCTTCTTTCCGACAAGCTGCATCGACGAGGTCATCTCTATTGCAGGGAAGCCTAACCGCTTCGGACACACCGAGACCGAAGGCAACAGACGACGCACCCAGTTTGTCCTCGGGCTTCGTCGTTTCGTTCTCGAAGCCTCACTTCCACCAGTCTTGTGCTATTCGCATTTGTTGCTTTAGATATAATGAAGATAATAGCGGTGTGTAGGCTTGTTTGGAAACTGACATGGGTAGTTGCAGAGGAATCTGGACTGATACAGAAGTGAAAAGTGAATCTCACTAAACATCACTAAACCATGTATCAGAAATTGGACGTCGTTCCTGTTCATTTGGGATGTATAGTCCCGAAGATGGCGATTCACTTAGCAGTCGCTGGTGATGGAAGTTTCTATATTGAGCAAAGTAAGGACTTGGAGGACCCAGCTCGGTTACCGAAATCGTCCAAAGGGACAAGAAAACGCCAAGAGACTCACTGAGTTCCCGGAAAAAGATATCCGGTGTTCCACCAAGGTTTTGGTTGTTTCTCTCACCAGGCATTTGAGGGACTTTGCTGCTTGATCACTCAACTCAAACAAATGACCGTTCTGCGGCCTCTCTCCAAGGGCTGGAGGTGAAAGTCTTGTGTAGTGAGATCCAGGAGGCACGGACTTGTGGCACTTTGGGAGTGGTAGGCTAGGCGAAGGAAGGAACAGGCGGGCGTGCCGAATAGGAAGAAGGACGCCTCGTTTTGAGACGAACCCAGATTTAGCACATGCCAAGGATCGGTGGAGTTAATGATGCGTGAACTCAATAGACCGCGTGTGGACAGTGATCGCATGAATATGAATAGGACTACAGAGTCTGAAGTTGACTGGGGTCAGAAATGTGGAAACTAGGTTCGGTATTGTGAACCATTCATTTACTTTTCATTGCCAGACCAGACCCATTTACTCTCCCCAAATAAAACGTATCCCCCTAAAGTGGATGTTTTTTGGTAACGTTAGTCGACAGATGCTGAAAGGGCACAAGTGGTGTTTGTGAGGAGGATATGTTAGCAAGAGTCCGCAGGGATAAGTATTCCAAATTGTTCAAATTGGAAACGGCCATGTTAGTGGATGCCGGGGAACATTGACAAGTTTCATGACTCTGAACTGGCACAAGTGGTGTCTGGGACGAGGATATGTTAGCAACTAGGAGAAGCATGGAAAAACAGGTCCATGACCCATGCCCTGAACGTGGTATCGGTGAGGAGGACATGTTAGCAACAGTCTGCAGGGGAAAATGTGTTGCAAATCCTCCGACATGGAAACGGCCATGATAATTGATGCCGGGGAAAATTGACAAGTTTCATGGCTTTGAAATGACAATATGTACATATATTTTCATCGCTAATATCCCTCAAAGAAGCAAGATGTTGGAAGCTCTAGACTTCAGATGGTTGGGTTTTGAAGAACAACTGTTCACATGCACCAGGAGCATGGCTATCATGGGTCTCATTCACTGTATTCATTTGGGGGTGGCCATGTTACGCTGTTTCAGCACGTGCAAAGACTCACATAGCCCTCCAAAAGGGGCATTGATTCTTCCAGAATTGCAAAATTCCTAGTCGCAAGGACTAACATAGCCCCCTAAAATGGTCATGTGGTTGACTAAAATTGCAATATTCATGGTTGCCCCAGGCCAGGTTAGCAGTGTTTTTGGACCTTTTTTGAAGCTACGCAAAGCAAAAGTTACATGCAATTCCCCAGGAAACACCGGAGAGGTTTGGGATATGTTAGTTTGGGCCCTCACTGCTGCTAGGGGTACGTTTTAATTGGGGAGTGTATCGCTTTTTGATTATTCAACCAGCAAATTTTGACAGCTCGAGCAATTCTGCCCTGCTCTACCCAGATATGCCCAGATTATTTTCTACTTGAGGGCTTGAGAAAGATAGAAGGGCGATCAGCGATTGTCAGAAAAGAAGTTCTGTAGCGATGCGTCCTCTAGAGTTTGTGTCGGTTCAGAGAGAAGGGGAGCTTTTGCCACTGGTGAGTACAGACCAGATATGATATACTGATTTGTATGTACGGAGCACAAGCGAGTGGATGCCGGTGCCCTCTCTTCAGGTAGTTGTATGGGAAGGAAAGGTTGCATGGCCTCAGGAATGTAAAGTGTGCATTATTGAACAACTGTGCAAGATCCAATTGTCGAGAAATCCAAGGACAACTAACGCAACACTAGACAGGTCTATGGTCTATATCTTCTTGCAAATTCACCGGAGTGGCTTGGTGTTTGACCCATGCCGCAGGTCAAGCCGCTGGTGGTCCGTGACGATGCCATGCCTGGCTTTGAGATCTCTGGCTTGAGGCGCTGCAAGTGGGTTGAAAGAATTGGCTCAAAACAGAATCTGGTTTTCTTTTGGGGACATCGGTAAGAGTGGGGCCGAGAGGGTAGGAAACTCGTAGCTTTAGTAGCTACTAGATGCTACTAGTATCTGGTTCGCTGGGCTCGGGTTCGATTGATTTGGTTCCTAGGCGTTCTTACGGTCTTTCAATGTGTTTACCTTTCCTGTTTGTGCGGTTTTAGTTAGTTCCTCTGTACTTTCTAGAGGTTCCTTCTTTCTTCCATTTCTTTGCTTCCTTTTGTGATCTTGTGAGCTTTGACGGCTTGGGATTCTTCCATCGACTGAATTTTCAGATGCATTTTCGAGGTAGGCCTTTGATCAACCCTTGGGAATGCACACTGGATTGGTAGTGGCTTGGTTTCAACTTGAAATACAAACAACATGTTGGAAGAGGAATCTTTCTTCAAACCGGCATAAGATGAGTGCCACGCAAACCTTAACCCAACTTTCTCGGGTTGGTTCAGTTCCGCCTGAATAAAACCACCACAACTGCCAGCTCTCCAAAGAGCCAGTCAGACGAAACATTTTATATATGCTCGAAGAGATACTGAGGGCCAACTTAAAGTTCATTGCTTTGTCCACCAAGTCAAGACCAATGTTGCAACCCAGAAGAAAACAATTCACAAATACAAAATGTTTCCAGTAGGAAGCAAAATACAATGTGTCAAGAAAAAGATGCATATGGAGTCCCATGGGGCACCAGGGAGTTCTCGGATTGTGACAAGAAGCTTCAGCAGCTCAATCGGCCCCGCGCTCAATTGACAGCTTGGGGAGGAGGTGTTTTCGGTGCACTCTTGTCCAAAATTATGATGTGTGTTCCGTGTTTGCAAGGTGAACAGGCCTACTAGTGGGAAGTGTATAAGACCGAGGAAAACTGCTCACAAACTGGCAACAGCTGAAAAACTGGCACTAGGCCAACCCTCGCACAAAATACAGACTGCCCAAAAAGTGTTCACAGTTATTTTTTTGTAAGACTGCTGTGGCCACCATGGCAAGCTGCATGAGCAATCCCACAAAGAGATTCTCCTCAATTGCACACCCAAAAAGACATGAAGAGCCTGATGTTCTCCAAGCATTACTTGAGCAGAAGACCGCTTCTCAATGCCCTCGCCTTGTCGCTTTGTTTGGGTGTAGGCACGACGTGTTGCTGACACCTCATTTGGAGGATTGTTTGGCTCAGGTCAATTCACACACTGCAGGCAGAGACTTACCGTGCCTTGGTGAATCTCAAGTCTGCCAAAAGTTGAGCTTGGGTTGGCTTGGTGGCTGTCCACCCTAGTGCGAGGCTCACAGCTTTGCAGCAGGCTATGCAAGGAGATCGAGGCGCCGAGCGAGTTCGAAACATACTAGGAACGGTCAAGTCGGTTCCGCCAGCAGATTCTTGGGCAAAATGGTAACTTGCTCCCAAAGAAGGGACCTGGATCAGTTTTCATGCGCCCCAAGCTCACCCTCTATGTTCATCTACTTCTTTTGCTTGTTTGTTTTTGGTGTATTTGGTGTGGAATAAGAATTACAGGCTCTATATTGTAGCTGCAGCTGTGAGGGTTAGTTAGAGCTATAAAGCAACCCTTGCATGATGTTATGAGGGTCGAAGGATGGACGGAAATTCGATCAACAACGGCTCCTCTTCTGAAATCCTCATTGCAATCCTCATTGTGCATTCTTTGTTGCCTGGGCATGCGAGAATCGAGGTTCACATGAGCATACTTAGCATCCACATAGGTTCTTGACTGGGGTGCCAAGCACTTTCTTGTGTTTGATGGATTTGGCGCAACAAATTCCAAGAAGCTCCAGTCAGTTGCCAGCGCACTGATGGGAAATCATAGCTTTTCATTTGAGACACTGGGGTTACCATGATTTTCGTGGCTTTGGAGAACAGCCTATGGCCACTTGCTCCATTACGCCCTGCCCCTCGCTAGGAGATGAGCTGTGTGCCGGAGTGCGGTGACAGCGTCGTGGGTGGCTCCGGCTCCATATAGAGTGAAAACCAATCGCCTCTCAAGGTGCAGTGCACCTGTCTCTGATAGCACTTTGTTTTTTGCATTGGCAAGAGCCCATTGTCATTGAGGTGTTCTGTTCCATAGCATTTAACATTTGCACGAGCACGTTTTTGTTGCTCACATTGGCACCTCAACCCATTGGGAGCAAATCTTTTTGCTGGTGAACGTGCTTGTTTTCTCATTCTTGCAGGTGGTCATTTTGTAAGAGTTCTTGTGGTTTGCCAGGCTTTAATCTTTATCCAAAGAGCTTGCAAATGCAAGTGCTGGAGGAGGAATCAATCCGAGGTGGGGATCGTGTTCAGTTGCAATTGTGATAAAAGCACTTGGGCATAAACGTGATCAAGGAAGGTCACCTTTTGCATCTAGAGTCTACAGAGGGCCATTCCCCAATGACGACAGAATCACCAACAGCAACAGTTTGTGCTTCAGCCAGGCCTCAACCTGACCTCCATTCAGAAAGCATATTTGATCTGAAAATGGACCACCAAGTGATTTTGTGTTCAAGTATTTGTTGTTTTGCACCCAATATTACCATATTAGGTCAAAAGTTGAATGATTTTCAATTATCATGAATCATCAACTTCTTTTGGTAAGATATGACAAAGATTCATTCTATGAAATGTCGTGATACTGATTGTGTGTATTCTTGCAAGGACATGGTATGATATGACAAAGCTGCCCATCCTTGCTTCTTGCAAGGTGCATGTGATCACACCAAAATGCCAAGGCTGTCCAATGGATTTGCAAATCTAATGTGTAGTGTAGCCGGGTCAAGCTCTTCAAGCGAAAAGATCGGTAGCGACAACAATCAGTCCACACATCAAATTAGCCTTCATTCCACTGCTTCGCAAAAGCACGCGAATTGCCAAGGAAAGGTCTGTTGTAGAATCAGGCCTCAATGTAACCCAAGAAAAGGGATCTTGCTCCAACTCTCTTCACTCAGGTTTAAAAATAGCAATTGGGGCGGCCCACCTCTTGATTATGCTCAAGTGTTTTGATCTGACTCCGTCGTCCCTGAATCTGCTGAGTGCTTGTCGACTGAAGGTACTTAAATGCACCAGAAACCCGAAGAATTACTCAGGGGGGGCACCCCCAACCGATCAAACAATGTATTCCTTTGTCAACGAAAGGCGACTGAAGCAGCAAAGAGGTGGCTTATCTAAAGGCAGATCTCCAAACACACACCAAGCGTCCTTAAAACGAATCATCATCTACGCGTGCATGCTGTCTCCTGGCACATCTTCGGTTTTCTAATATATCTCAATATGTTCGTCAGCTGGAAACACAAGATCCCGGCGGGTCAAATTCAACAATTCACTTGGGCGAAGCATGGCTGCAAACCTCAAAGCTACCGCTCCTTTAAAACACCACCATCCCCATAAAATGGAAAGAGCTGACACCGCTCCAAGTACTGGAGCTGACAGAACCACACGGCACTGCCCGCGTTCTTCAAGTTGCCAGTTCCGGTCCACCTGCCAAGCTCCACTGAGGCATCTACGGAATTCAGGCTTCAATTGTTGAACTGTAATTGCATATGCTAGCCAATACCGAGGGTCCCCTTTATTGAAGAGGCTCAAACTAGAAGCCCACTAAATGATCATCCACATCAGTCTCAAAGCCGGTTATTGCACCTCAAATGCCTTGCAGCAACACCTATGAAATATCAGATATCACAGAAGGACAATCCAGAAACAACCAACAAACCTACGAAGACATCGGATCAATCAAGCGTTCAAGACAACAGCAACATCTATTGACCTACAAAACCTCCAGCCGCATCTATGTGTTTGTTGTTCATGTTTCCTATAGCTTTTCTGCATCTTTTCTGTTTTTCTTGTTCTTCGTTCGCGGCTTTGCACCATTAGCGGCCATTTGTGTGAAATTGCCACATGTGTCGGCATTTGATGACAAACTGTCGACAGTGCTATGCAAAACTCGTTGGCTGTATTTTGCGCAATATCAACCAATATCCAACCTTTTTTGCAAAATAGGAAATATTTGCTGTTGGTGCCTAGTTGCAATATGTTATTGGTGTAAGGCAAGTTTGATTTGTAAGTTTTCAATGTTTTTCTAAACACAGTACCTATGTGTTCATTTGCCATCCTCACAACATGGTTCTGGGGGGTCAAAGGCAAGCCATGACCACTCCCTTTTGCAGGCAAAGGGCCAAAGTGGCTGAAACGCTGCGCAAAGCAACAGAACCTCTTGAAGCAAGGCATCAGCCAGTGCATGCCCAGTTACAATGTCTATTTTAGGTAAGCGCGGCAAGGACCAAGGACGGTAATCAAAGCTGCGTTCTTTGTTTCAACGGCCGGACCAGACAAAGCAGTACAATTTATGTTCTGTGTTGCACGCCAGGGCCAAGCATTGCAAGGCGCCAAAACCACTGAAATAGAATCCAAACCCTTGGTCATGTGAAGAACAACATGCAAAAAGTTCAAATTGCCGTCCATTGATCGAACATTATTTTATATTGAAAAGATAAGGTACAAGAAGCAAGATATGCTTAAAAACAAATATGCACATTATATTTGGAATTGCATGGAGATACGACAAGTGATGATGTGTTGTTCATTGTGTCGAAGCTTTATGAATAAGAATGTTGAAGATTGTGATCATTTCTCCGTTTACTTTTGTTTTATTTGTGTAATGGATGTTAAATCCAAACAGCAAACTGTTTGATTTATTATCGGTACTTGTTGAATTTGTTTGGAGCCGAAGCCTGAGATGTTCTTTTTTGGACCAAGAGAAGGGGCAGGAGATGGGCACCAGAAAAGAAATTGAGGCAAGGAAGGAAGAAAGGACGAGAGGATAAGAAGTGGAGAGAGGAAGAGGAGAAGGAAGAAAGATAATGAGAAGGATGAAAAGGAATGAAATTGAAGGAAGGGAGGGAAGGAAGGAAGGAAAGAAGGCAGGCAGGGAGGGAGGGAAGGATGAGCTTAGGGTTAAGGGTCTTAAAGCATTTGAAGTAGAAGGTTTGAAAGGATTGGAATTAAGATCCGGAGAAGATTTAATAGGAGAAGCTTTGGAAAGCCGTTAATTCAGCTTGTTGCTTTGCAGGATCTTTTGTCGCTGTTAATTTGCTTGAAACTCTTAAGTCTGTTTATTTAGCCCGAAATGATTGTTGTTTAACAAACACCTTAGCGTTACAGTCCTTTTCATATTAACATTACCGAAGCCCGTCTTCATACCAAATGTATTGAACTTATTTTTTAGCCAAGATCAGTTGAACCTTCAAGTCCACATCCCAGAATTGTTTGGAACATGTTTGTATCATAGAAATTGCTGAACCGAGTAACAAGCCAAGCTTGTTTGAATACCTTTTCATCGTAAATTGTGTTAACCTTCCTGCATCCTAAATTCCTTCAAAGCTTCGAGTCTTTTTTTTGGAAACATCTCTACATGCCAGTCCTCTTTAATCTCCAACTTCTTGAAATCAAATTTTCACCGCATGCCAAATTCCTTTGAACCGTCAATTCATTTTTGCATCCTTTGTATATCACTTGTTGGCATCCTGGAAATTGTTCAACGGACAAGCGCCCCCCCTTCACCCCACGACTCATTAAACAGATGTCTTTCAACGATCTCTTCATTGCAGTCCTTTCTATGCAAAGATTCTCGAAACCCATCTTTGCAAAAAAAAATGAACCAATTTTCATGCCAAGTTCTTTAAACTTAAAACTTTCAAAGCTTCGAGTCTTTTTTTGGAAACATCTCTACATGCCAGTCCTCTTTAATCTCCAACTTCTTGAAATCAAATTTTCACCGCATGCCAAATTCCTTTGAACCGTCAATTCATTTTTGCATCCTTTGTATATCACTTGTTGGCATCCTGGAAATTGTTCAACGGACAAGCGCCCCCCCCTTCACCCTACGACTCATTAAACAGATGTCTTTCAACGATC